TACAAGGAGTAACGAGCTGTCCTTTTCAGAAAGGAAAGACTTAAATTCTTGTTCTACATTCACTGCTTGACTTAATACCTTAATTGAACCAAGAATAAACAAACGTTTCAGACAAGGATGTGTGCAGAACGATAATTTACTAACACCTTTATCAGTGTAAAATTAGAGGGAAAAATGTGAGAAAGTCAGTGGATCAATTTTCCAATCTCTTCTGAAAGTCTGCTACTAGACAAAATGTAACAAACAGGTGAAGTTTTTTATAATCACAGCAAATTTGAAGTGGAAAAGCATAAAACCTATTAAAAAGCCATTAAAAAGCTAAGGGATAAAACGAGGCTTCAGGAGTTAAAAACATCTAGATAAGCAGAGTCAATGAACATCAAAACATTATTAAACAAGTGAGAAAATGGAATTTTTTTATGACATAATTGTGCAGAAGTTAAACCTTTTTTTAAAAAAAAAATCTCTTATCATGAATAGATAGGAAAAAAAATGCTTCATCAGATGTAGATGAATCTGTGCAACTCTGTACAGAAAGGGCTTGCTGTTAAAGGTACCAGAATTTATTTTTATTATGTTTTAAATCCTTTTTATTAATTAAAGAAAATCAGAAACTAAAATGAAAGTAAGCCTTCTATTGACATTTCAAGTCTGAATATAGCCTATACACATGGAAGGGAAATAGAACATAATATTTAACAATATTTAGAGGAATTATCAGGAATCTGGTCCTGTTTTAATTTGCAATGAAATAATACAATAAATCATTTGGAGGTTTCAGGAATAGGGCTATCCTTCCCTTTTTTAATATAGATGTTGTGAAAAAGATTAGTGAAGTTTAAAAAAAGGAAATTTAAACAGAAATATTAAAGCGAATTAGATAAGGAAAGGTGGTGGAGTAACACTGATTTGGTTGCTTTGGTTTATCTGTGCTTTATTAACACTCATTCCCCCCCCACCCCAACCTTTTACCACCTATTCACTTTTGATTATAGGGTAAAATTTACAATTATATCTTTGTTTTAACCAAACACTCTGGGTTAAAAACAAATACACAGATTTGTGCAGAGAAACTTTGCTTGGCCCTACCTGAATATCAGGCACCCATCAAAGCTGCTCTTTGTCAGCTGTACAGGGGAGAGAAAATAAAATAAAATAAAATACTTGTGGGTTGAGACCAGGACAGGGAAAGACCACTCACTAATTACCAACATGGGGAAAAATTGACTCAGCTTGGTGAAATTAGTTAAATTTAATAAAATTTAAATAAATTTAAATTAGTTAAATTTATTGCCAATCAAATCAGCATAGAGTAGTGAAAATTAAAACACCTTCTCACCACTTCTCCCTTCTTCCTAGGCTGAGCTTCACTCCTGATTTCTCCATCACTTCCCCTCAGTGGCAGAGGAGAATGGGAAATATGGTCTGAGTCAGTTCATCACATGTTGTCTTTTTTTCCTTCCTTCTTAGGGGAGAGACCCCTCAAACTCTCCCCCTGCTGCAGCATGCTGTCCCTCCTACAGGGGATAGATCTCAATGAACCTTTTCTCTGTGAATTCTTCCACAGGACTACAGTTCTTTACATAAAGGGTCACAAGTCCTGCTCTCAAACCTGCTCCACCATGGGCTCCTCTCTCCTTGGGGCCAGAGGTGCTACCTTGGCCCTGCTCCAGCATGAGCTTCCCATGGGGTCATGGCCTCTTTGGGTGTCCACCTGTTCTGCAGGGGGAATCTCTTCTCCAGGGGCTGCAGGGGCACAGCTGCCTCTCCATGCCTGCACCACAGCCTGCAGGGTGGTGGTGATGAATTTCCCCCTCTTTCTTCACTGACCTTGGTGTCTCCAGAATTGTTTCTCTCTCACTCATACATTCTCACTCCTCTCTTCTCTTGCTGCAGTCACTGTTGGCATCATTCCAGTTTTTTTTTCCCCTTCTCAAACATGTTATCCCAGAGGTGCTACCACCATCAATGGGGGCGTGACCCTGGCCAGAGGCAGCTCTGTCTTGGAGCTGGCTGGCATTGACTATGTTGGACATGGGGAAAGGTTCTGGCAACTTCTCTCAGAAGCCACCCTTGTAGCCTCTACAAAAATCTGGCCATTCAAACCCAATTTAGAATCACTTGGATTTTTGGGCCATATTTTCAGAATCTGTAAATTTGCTCTCTATAGTTATCTAAAAAAAATTGTACTCTTATGTACTTCAAAATTGTATTCATTGCAACACCATAGGCATAATAACCATTCATTTTGCTAAAGAATTCCTAATATTGATTTTGATTAAGAAAAGTAATTTCCAATGTCAATAAATTTAATAAAACAAGAATAAAAATATCTCTTCAGAGAAAGTTGCATCAACCCAGCCAAATGATCAAGAGAATTTTTCTCATGGGCATAAGCCTTCTGTAAAATGTGATATTCATGGCCTGTTGATGCTTGAGCATAAGATCAATAACCCTGTAAACGCTTACCTACATAGGTCATACAGTTTTGTACAGACTATTCAGATGGATCTCATAATTCAAATAAATCTTAGACACATGGAGTTGCACAGGTTGTCCATTGGTTTCTGTCATGTAGACTCTTAAATATCGGGACTACACTATGCCAGCCTCATTTGAGCACCTGAACCTAGACAATATTAATTCAACACAGATTCAGTCTCCGATAATACATCCTTACTCATGACCAGAGTTTTTAGACACAGCAGCAAAACAATGTCAGACTCCCTTCATTGTCACCTTATTGTCATGTTGCAGTAAACTCCAGATTTGGAGTGTAATAAATAATAACAATAGTATATGTACAATAAAAATTGCATGCAATGCTTTGTGAACAATTTGCAGGAGAGAATAACTTGCATGATAGAATACCATTGTCACTCAATATTTTAATTTGCTTCCTTCCTAAAGCTCCAATTAGGGCAACTAAAATCAAGTGGTAAGGTCTTATTTTGAAAAACAGAGGCTGTTTCACCGTAGGTTTGTGTCAAGAGAAGTGCCTCTGCAGATATCAGTAAACGAGAGACACCCCTGACAGTGCTATTCACAGTCAATACAAATATGAGCTTCTAAGAGAGACTTTTCAAGAAAAAGAAATCTGATGCAATAAATGTCTGCACATTTACACCCAACATAAAGCAGGGCTTAGAAAGGTAAATGCCCCATTGCAGACTGCAAGTATTCTTTTATATTCTTATTATGCTAAAATATGTACTGACAATAATGTGACTTAAAATATCCCCAGTGACAACAAGCGAGTATAATGGAAGAAAATCTATTATTATATTATCAACATTATTAAAAACTATTTGCTGCTGCTTTGATAAACATATTAGTCTTTATGTGTTTTAAGCCAAAGAACTTGAAAATTAGAATCAGCAATGACAGCTATGTTCTCTCACATTATCCTCTGCTTCTCAGAAAAAGTAATAATCATTTGCAAATTAATATAAGAAGGTAGTATTTATATCTCAATTGACTCTCACTAAAATATGAGAAACTCATATCTTATAGGAAATGACAAATGCTTTAAATGCACTTTCTGTCTAAATAAGGGTGAAAATTAAAAATCTGTCAGGTCGTTGTTTTTTTTTGTTCAGTTACAGAGAGTGTACAGTAATGAAAATATGTTCAATAGCAATTAAGAAGTAATTCAAAACCAGAAAAAAAACCCCTAAGTGCTTCAAGCTTTCAACAGTCAGGTACAAAATGATATTTACAATTTCATTGTAATCCAAATGTTCCCAATGTCTTTTTTTAATGGAATTTTCTTTTCCACTGATAAGCTTAATCCTCAAGTTCTGCTGATCTGGGACAACACCATGGAGTAATGGTGACTTAATCCATTGCTGTCAATAAACACTATGTATTTTACTGTGAAAAACACAGAGACAGAACCAGCCAATATGAAGACCATAATGCAATCATTCATGAAATATGAATGACTATCTAGTATGAGGACAGCAGCTAAATTTGACATAAATAATGAATATTTTGATTTTGCAAAGAATATTGATATAAGCTTATTTTCTATTTTGCAACCAAAAAATAAGCTATTTAACAAATTAGTTTTATCACTTCCAAATTTTTTTTTCTTATCAAGATGAAATTGTAACAAATCATTAAAGAGTAACTTTTAATTATTAAGCACAACTTTTATTCGTTCAACACATTATTTTCTATTGTTTACAGTTTTTCTTATTTTAGCTATTCCCATATAATCGCCTTCTTTTAATCACTGCTTTTGACAGTCTCTATCTTTCAAATTCATGTTTAAATTTATGCTTACCTACATCTTAGGAATTGTCAGAATGTGAAGTTCTATTATAAACACAATTGCACTGATATAAAGAAAACACTCTGGGTGAGCTTCCTCTTAACAAACTTTATCTAAATAAATAGGCATCTGACCTAAGGCTCATTAAGAGAGAAATGAGCTTCCACAGAATTATTTATGCTACTGTTTTCAGAAATTCATTTTAGAACAGGATGAATCACTTTCTAGAGTAGTCTACATCTTTTTCTTAAGTCTTATCATATTTAAGTCAAGGAGAGCTCAAATTTTGTGATCCATAACAGATGATCATCAGTTACTTTATAAATAAAATTGCTTTGAGGGCCAAGAAAAGGACCACTGCAGCCTTATCTGTACAATCTTGTCTTTCTCAAGCCTCTTCTGGATAGTAGACTGAGGGAAACGTGAGTCCTTTCTAAAGACTGCCTCTCTCAGTGGGAAGGGTGACCTGCCTTACAGTAACAAAAATTTCTCAGTGAGCAGGTGGACTCTGTAATTTCCCTCCTGCCAACTATAGACCTCTCTCTACTCCAGTCAGCTCAGCACCATATGCTTAATACCCAAAACCAAGCTTGTGAGCCAGTTGCCTTTTTCACTTGATTTCTACCCCCCTCCCACAAACCACGTCATTTGTTGTGTGTTAGCCCAGGTGCACTCAGTTCTTTAAAAGGTAGTCTGTAATAGCAGTTGTGTGCCTAGGGATCAGGTGCTTAGTGGTTCCTCTCCTAAGAACGTTCAGTGAGTCAATTCAGAAAATCCACGCAGGTTTTTTATCTTATTTTTTAAAACATAAAGCTTTTAGTGAACAACTGTATGATAAATATGAAATCAAGATATAAAGTCAATAAAACTGTGGCAAATGGGGAAAATTGAAACAGAGATTGGCCATTATTTCAGAGGGAATGAAGGTGGTAAGCAGGGTCAACATGGGAGGAGAAAATGGTAAACTATAGAATCGTAATTGTAAGGTGCTCTTGTTGACCAGCCCTGCACAAATTCAGTGGAGTTCTGTTTACAGCAGAACAAAAATATGTGTAATTTCTTTGACACTTGCATCTAATTTCACCCTTTGTCTCTGGTGCCTGGGTTGCTCTCCCCAATGCTGGCAAGGGAATGAGGGTGGATGAGATGACTTGATGTCCTAACAACTGACATGGACACAAACAGCAGACATAAGGTTAATTATCTAAAGAAATTCTTTAAAGAAATTGAGGTGCCTCTCTGGCATCTCGTTCTTCTTTTACTAGCAGTTGTTTTTGTGTTTCACATTATCATGCAATGATTTATGTGTTGTTAATTCACACTTCCATTGGTCTGAGGTAAAAATCAGATGCCAGCTGAGTTCCTGTCCCACAATATTCCCCTAAGGCTTTGCTCTTCACCGTCTGTCTCTTCTGCAGCCAGGTATCCTGCTCAGAGTAAATGTTAATTGTTAATGTTTTTAAATGATGCAGCTTTATATTGAAATTAGAATAATATGGAGTGATCAAAATGTAAACTGAGTTTTCACACTCGGTGGCAATGCTTTTCATAATTGCCATTCAGTCTTATCTGTGCTCTTGCCATTACCAGAACCCGGTTGAGGATACCTTTATCTTGAATGTTCTCCTTTAATAGAAGAGATCCAGCATGGGCTGATAATTGGCACAGGGAGTTGTGTTATGTCTTTCAAAATTTGTGCTAAAGGGTTCCTTCCAGAATAAATGAGCATACCCTTACCACGTTCTCACATTCTGATAATTTCTGCTTGTCAGAATGGTGGACTTGGAGTACAATTAAAATAGTGACATGCAAACATAATTGGGTGTGTGTTACACACAGAGGTTGAATGGTGATAAAGTTCATTGTACAGTCAGTGAAAATTCTCTTGAGCTCCTGGTGTGTTGATGCTAAACCTGACAGTCGACCAGTTCAGCCAGCTGCAGTTTCCCTTGTCCTTGTTTGTATCTGATTCATTATCCAGGACTTTATCAATAATTTTTATCTACTCTATAAATGGATGCTATGTCTAACTTTTTTATTTTCTTTTTTTTTAGGAAACACAAAGTGTGCTTCAGAGCACAAAGGAAGAACAGTGCATGTGAATTACACGCTTTGGATGGCAGGTGATTTATGAGTCTTGACAAGGCAATTTACAGATTTTCTATTTCTGCATTCAAAATATAGTTTGTGTCTAACAGGAACTCCTATTGCTATTAATTACCACATGAAACAAAAACATAGTTGCTGTGACATAAAATATGGAGGATTATTTTGAAAAGTAAACACTTAATCACGTATCATAGTTGAATGGATTCAGAATCAGTGTAAAGGGAATTTGATAATCTTTTGCCCAAGCTTTTGGTATACAAACTGAAGCAAAATCCTATTTCTCAGATAAGTAAAAATAAAGGGGACAATTAAGGGGAAAAAGAGAACATCCACAGCAAGTTAATTAATTAAATATATCTTGGCAGTTTCAGTCATATTTAAAGCCAACTTTGGCAGATTACAGGCCTGGATTTGCTGCATTTCTATTCTAATAATAATAATGCAACATAATGTAAGAGGATTGCTTCACTGGACTATCTACTACTGCAGAGAAAATTTGTTTTATAATTATATATCCCAAATAAAATTTACAGAAATGTTGAAGACCATAAAGAAAGTCATCAACAAATTATGAGGTTTGAATTCTCCCAGTTATATGTGTACAACACTTCCATTACTGTTGAAAGGATTTAGGAACCTACACTGAAGCATAAGTGTAGCTGATAGGAATTTTCATTGAAATTTGCATTGTAGTTTTTTCCTGCTAAGGATTTTCTACTGTAAAATTGTGTTTATTATCATTTTTCATTTTTAATGACTATAAAACAAAATAGATATCAAGCCTCTGTGATAGACCATATGGGAAGGGCTCCCAAGAACTTAATTTCTCTCTTCTTTTATTCACTCCATACGTAAAAACCAGTATTCCAGGCATGTAACATATTGTCTAACTCAAAAGGAGCTGGTTTTGGTATATATATATATGTGTGTGTATATATATATATATATGTATATATATGATAAATATTCTTCTCATTCTGAAGCTGGAATAGTAATGATATGTAATTTTGAAGAGGATTATTGACAAAAGAATATTTACTGGCTGTGCCATTTGTTATGTCCATGCAAAGAAAGGGGATTAGGTGCCACATTTGTCTGGGATGCAGAGGGATTACTGTGCTCTGAACTGTCGATCTGCTAAGTATAGAAAAGGCCACTTCTTGAGAGACATCTGTTAGTTTGGATGTTACTCAGCTTCTGTTTCCCACCAAGATCATTGCAAATGAGAGAATGGGTAAGTCACTGGCAGGAGATACTCTGCCTGAGCTATTCTTACTCTGTTGAGCATATGGCTCCATTATCTGTCACCACTTAGACCCATGCCACTTTATTTTGTTGAAATAAATTAAAAGCTGCTTGATTTCTAAATGCTCATGGGATACAAATAATTCTCATGGATAAATTTGATCATAAGGACTTTGTTTTATGGGCTTCATAAGAATATCTTTTTTTCTTGTAGGGCCATGAATTCAAATTAAAACATGTATAAAAGATTTTAAAGGAATGTGTTATGCTTAATGCTATTAACTCTACTTTTTTTCTAACAAATGTCTCTAATTAACCAGGAGCTGCCCCTTGAGACAAAAAAAATTTTAAAAATCAATTCAAGCACTTTTTCCCTGCTCTGCCAATTCTTGTCTAGTTTTTCATGTGTTCATGGCTTTATAAAATAAGTAACGGACTACATTTTTTTCCCTATGCATCAAAGCAATTCATTCCAGTACTAAGTTCTGTAAGGAGTGATCTGTAAAATAATTGACCACATAGAATGTGAAATTTTAAAGGATATTAGAACACATTCATTGCTTTGAACACCTTACTAAGTATACAACAGTGAGGAGCTGAAGAGATGATTAAGCCAATTAATAGTCATAGAGAATTACCACATATTTGCAATATGTCATCCTGGCATGACCTTATGTACTCTTGTATTGATACAACATCCCAGTGAAAACATTGCAAGGCATTATCAAGGCACCCTGTTGAGCTTACTTTATCATTTTCCATAACTATTTTACACTATTTACTTATCTTCCTCCTCTTTCCTCTTATGCACAACTTTTTAGAGGAGCCAAAGTATTTCACATTTTATATCTTTTCCCCACTTTTTATAACCCCTTTTTCAATATGTTTTTGTGTTGTTGTTGTTTCTTGTTTTGTTTTATTTTTGGGTTGATTTTTTTTTCCTTTTATAGATGATTATCAGTGACCTGGTTTTACTTGTTCATCATTTTATGACTTTATTAAGGCAATGGCAGAGATCTTACTCTCTGGGTATTTTCTGGTCATAAAAGAAGAGCTTTATAGACTCCTACTGATTAATCAGGAATTATAGTCAGGGACCAAAAAATATACAAGTCCCTGTATTCCAGAAGGATCCAGCTAACTCAGCCCTTTGTGAGCCTTGATAATATAATTTAAGGAAGTATGTTGACTTTTTAAAAAGGCAAATTTCAAGCATTCAGTATCTCAGCTTTCAGCCCAAATGTGAGAGGTACAGATTCAACATAGCATATGGATTTAAAGTTATTATTACAGATTTAGAGCATCGAGCCATTTCCAGTCTGTGAAATTACTTCCCATGAAATATAATCTTCAATTTGCATTTTTTCTGGTTTCTTCCATTATTTTATTCTCCATTTATATTTTAACTCCCACAGCACTCACTACTGGATAATGCCAGCTGATGAATCAGCATCATGAAGGCAGCACAGACACTATGATAACTAAGTTTCATTTTCTACTCTCTGAAGACAGAGCCACCAGCTTTGTTGCAAAGAAAAATTACTCATATTGCACATATGATACATGGATATTCAGAATGAGTTTTATATGATGTTCTGTATGAAATTAAAAAGGGAATATAATGATTTTATCCCACAGAAGGTGTAATAGTAGCTAAAGGTAAATTTGGGAGATTTGTGGTTGATGAATATTCAAATAAAAACAAGGGTGGAAAATTTTACTCTCTCTGTCTTTTGACATGGTAGCCTGAAACAGTCTAAACACAAAGACTGGAGAAAATTTGTGGAATATGTAAGCTATGAGTATCCTGGATGTCTTTCTGCCACATAAATATCAGTGCTGTTAAAAGGTCAAGACTAAACAATGATAATTTTGAGCTGGGAAGATTGTGGTTTGGATTCTAGGAGATTAAATGAAACCTTAGCTGCAGTAAAACAGGTTACATATCTGATCAAAAACAATGGGTATAGGAGGATTGTAGAAAAGCAGTGAAATTATATTTTTCAAAGCCATTCACATAAAAAAATATGCATTCCTGTTAGAAACTAGAGAAACCAGAGTTTGAGGCTGAAATTTATCTGATGTAAAACAGCTGACTTCTAGAGCTTAGCTGGTCATCTGTGGTTTCATTTACTGTAAATGGAGATGAATCAGAATAACAAATTAATCTCATTATAAAATAAATAACTAAAATAGATTAGATTAATCACACAAGAAAAGCATTAATTTCTCTTTTTCAAGAAAAACAGGCCCTCTAATTAGCTATTCTCTGGATGTATACATCACAGGTTTTTAAAGATACATCTCTTCAGTACACAGTTCTTTCGTGAATGCTTGAAAAATTTCAGATATTTTTATATCTATAGCAACATATGAATTGAAACTTGGAAGATTGAAACCTTTGTATCCATACATTTTTTTTGTCCACAATGCAAGAAATAGTCACAGATGTAAATAACAAGTGGGATAACTATTTCACAGATATATTGCACCAACAATGAATCCACAAAACACTTTCTGAATGTTACAGATAAGCAAGCAAATTAGCAAAGTATTATTAATAATGGTAATGATAATATGTCAAAAGCTTCCTTCAGTTAATGTAAGAAAATCTGATTAAAATTTCCCTTTTTTTAATCATTTGCTAAGCAGAAAGTGATAAAATCTATCACCTGCATTCTTCTCTGTTCTTCTATGACATGCTGGGACCCCTTATTTGTTTGCTTAGTATTTCTGCAACAGGAGAATAAGGGAAGGCACCAGTCCACTGGAAACCCACAGAGAGATAGTGAAAATTATAAAGAACTGGGTTTTTTTGACTAGGTGGGAGAATATATCATAGCTTTATCTTCTGGTAATATATTTACACAATTACAATATAATTTTAGACTCAAAGCATGGCCTCTCTTGAATTAAACTGATATCAGTCAATTGAACAATATTGTTTTCAAGGGTTAATGCTGTTAATTTTGAATATTCTCACAGGGATTATTTGTTCACAAGGTTTCTAAAAACTAAGGAAGTTTATTTTAATTTAAGCTCTGAAAAGTCCAGCTGATAAATTTTACATGTTTTAGCCGGAGTATGAAGACTCAGAAGTCATCTCAAGGCAAAAGGCAGCAGAGAGAAAGACCTAAGATACTGCATGTGTGTGTTAAAGCGAGCAACTAAAAATATTTTATTAGCCTTTAGTTTTGAAGATGTGCAGCAAAGAATGCTCATAAATAAACTTCCTAACACTTTTGAAATTAAAAGATTGTGATTCAAATCATAGTTATGAAGCTTTCTTTCTTACTTTTTCTTATTACATCTTAGCTTACTAAGAAGGATAAATTTGTTTTGAAAAGTCTTGACACTCACAATTTTCCAGATGTTTAATTGCATAATCATGAAGATGAAATTTTTTAAAAAGAAATCTGGCTCTTGATTTAGCAAAGATTTAAACTAAGAAGCATAATTAGAGGTGCTAAATAATTGTTGTTGATATGTGAGAATATAATAATAATGAATGTTAAATAAAAATTTCTATTACCTAATTAGTCTAGTAGAAGTTATGCCTTGTGATTAACTCACAGTTTACTCTCTTTACCCCGAAAAGCAGCAGTCTTTGATAAGTTTCTTGAAATCCCTTTTTCCCTAGCTACTGATAACTGACATAAGCTGAAATTTCCCCATATGCACGACAGAGCAAGTGAGCTCTCTGGCCTGGCTGGGGTTTATGGCCTTTCCTATTTCCCATGGCTTAGCTGAGTCTAGGTCTCCTTTCAAGCAGGCTGTGACTGTTTTGCTTTTTGCTGCAGAGAATCATCTGAAATGAATTTTAGGTGTTTTCTAATTGGTTTTGTCTTCCAAATTCTTTCCTTTCTCTAGCATGCTTCTTTCTTAGCTGGAGATAAAAAGAAGCTAACCACTACGGTACCCATATTTTTGCAATTGTTTTGTAGACTTTAGTTCATCTCTCATCATACCTAGAGTAGAAATGAGAGAGTCCCAATCCTATTACTTTTTTCAGAGTCATTATGAGGGAGGCAGAAGTAAAGGAATTCTGTAGTTTACATGAGAAAAATGTAAAATAATTGCTTTTTCTGAAATAAGTTATTTCATTCTTTCATTGTCATGAATTAGTTTGCTCAAGAGACCAAGAAAAGACAATGCATGACCCACAGTTATTTCAATAAATCAGATAATACAGTGAGTTAATTAAGTCTGTAATATTAACAATTGATAATTTCTATCTGGCTCTTACAATTGATAATTTGTAACTGGCTCCTTAAGATTTGATAATGTCCTGGCTCAAACCAATAGGCGTTTAAAGCTGACCCCAGTTTTGGGGTCCCTTGGTTTTAAGTGTTTGACAGAGCAGCTAAAGATCTCTCTCCCTCACAATGTTCTTTCTTACTGTTCATAAGTTAACACTTCACTAAAAATTTCTCAGATCAAAGCATTTTTTAACCATAGATCACTGATGGAAGTGAGAGGTGGAAACAGATAAAGTGGAAAAAAGTGAACGAGAACATGAACATTGCTCTAGTTCTCAGGGAAGGCAGAAGCCTTAGAGGTAGTCCAGGAAAGAGATCTGTCTCATTGTTTTGCAAATGGTGCTACTGTCATGAAAAATAAGCAAAAAACAGATGGATTTTATTATCACTCAGTTTTCTGTTTTAGCATTTCTTATTCAGGAGAACTAGGTATGTTTAATGCACTAGTGTTACATGAATAATGGTGATACAACTAGGAGACATTCCTAAAACTTCAAACAATAGTACCTTCAAAAAGTAAAAGAAATTATAGGAAAAAAAAAAGTCATGCAAAATCAAGAAAATAAGAGAAAGCTTTCTAACAGATCTGAATCTGCTGGGTCAATATATTATTTTGAAAGGTATATTTTGGATTCCATTGTCATTCCTAATTTGAGATCACACTTAAAAGGAAGTAAAGCAGTCAAATAGGAAAAAAGATTACTAGAAGTTCCTTATAAAGATTTTTATTAAAAGTATAGTAAGGCTGAAGAACAAAATGAGAGCAAACTGGAAGTACCATCTGACAAACTAGATGATATTGTGGTAGAATGAGGTACGAGAGGAAAAATCTGCATACATACATAACTTGAGAAAACCAGCCTGTTCTTTCCTTTTTACTTTTTTTTCCCAGTGATTCATTTGGAAATGATCAGAGGGACTTTTTTACTTCTTCTGTTGTATAGCTTTGAGGGACAAATTATTTTTTACTTAAAAAGACAGATGTAGCTTTCACAGAGTGTAGGTTCTTTAATTGAAAAAAGCCATGAAAAAAATTTGAGTTAGAGGAGCTTTTGTGTCATCACCACATAATTGATACTCCTCACTGAAGAATTGGAGTATTAATTTAAGCTTAAAAAAAGTGAAGATTCTAATGAAACTACAGGACACAAGTTGATTTCTTTTCTTTTTCTTTGTCTTGTATCATTAAGGCAAAGACTGTTACTGCAAAACCAATTTACAGAGCAAGAATATGCTGTTGATTAGAGAAACTGATTTCTTTAAAGCCTTAAATACAATCTTAATATTTCAATGTCACTTAGAGTTGTGTCAAAGTCATAAGTTTTTGTTCAGACAATGGGAAATATCAAGACAGATATTCCTGCGAGTACTGAGCTATACAGTTGTGACAATAAGCAGTTTTATGTCTTTGGTGTTTTGTGATATCTAAAACATTTGCCTTCTCCAGAATGGCCTCCTCTCTACAGTTCTGCAGGTCCTTTTGAGGCCCTTGACCCAACACGAGTTTCCCATGGCTTCACAGCCCTCTTTTGGGTATCCACCTACCCTGGCATGAGTCTGCTCCAGAGGCTGCAGGTGGATCTCTGCAGCCCTGTGATCCTCCATGGCTGCAGGGAACAGCTGCTTCACCGTGGTCCTCACCACATCCTGCAGAGAAATCTCACTTCTTCCCCTTCCTTGGTATCTGTAGACTTCTTCCTCTCACATCTTCCCATTCCAGTCTTCTCTGGCCACAAACACATTTGCACATGAACCTTTTTTTTCCTTCTTAAATATGTTACACTCAGGCTTTGCCACATGTTAAGAATCCTAGAAGTTATAAAGTACCAGAGTTTATACCTGGGAAGGTAGACCCAGATCACAGCTTTGCCTGTTGAGCAGCTGGGTACTTGGAGTTGGAAATACAAGTTTTGGGGAGGTTCTCAACCCTCCACCAGGCAAACTGAGAGGAAGCCAAAAGCCTTGGAGCCTTGGCTAGACAGAGCAACCTGGGAGCCAGGACTCACAGCTCCACAGCATGTCATGTGGATACTGGAGAGTTGGTAGCCTGGAAGTCCACCAACAGGCTTCATAAAAAGCAGTTGGGTGAGCTAGCATTGCAGATTCCTGTTGGAAATGTGCCTTCTTTCTGTCACAGCTTTGTCAAAACGGAACTGTCTCCTGCAAACACTTTAGTTTTGATGAATTTGCAGTCTCTGCTCCATCTAACAACGTCCAAAACACTGATTCTGGAGTCTGTAATTTGGGGAGTAAGGCTCTTCAGTAGGAAAACAAACGTTCTTAGGAAATACATACAGTTTTGTACAACTGGTAAACAAAATCCACACTAAACTAATTGAGATATTCTTTCATGCATGACGAATGAAAGCTGCTTTGCCTGGCTTCTTTTTAACATTTTAGTTTGTTGGGTTGATCAGCTACACTTTTGAAACGGAGAATACTGTTGCTCGCTTGTGCACTTATTCATCAGATATTTGTCTGTTCTCAACATTATTTTGGAAAAGGTTGTCACTAGTAGAATTACATTGATGACGTAACTCAGCTAATGGCTCCATCATTAAAAAAAATAGAGATATTTCGATAAATGCTCTATCTATACTGCAAGGAGGAAGTTGAAGTACAGTAATATGCATTTTTCTCTTTTTAATAATCTACATAAATATAGGATTTATTTAATCTATATTGATTTTTATTTAATCCAATATTTGTATAACTTGAAAGACCAGGGGTAAAGAAAAGAAGTTGTTTAGTAAA